TGTGTCAATGTAAGTTCGGTGAATGATGGTGTCGTTTATTTCGGTCCGAATCACCAAGGCATCCCTGTGAGGAGAAGTAGGAGGGAGATCTACGTTGGTGAAGGTGATGGGTTCCTCCCTTAGTCGCTTTACCGGGGGCATATGAGTGACTTCCCCCACGTAAAGCGATTGAGCCCACTTCTTTCGCTGGCTGGTGGAATGGCCCCCTGTATTGCCACCGGTGATCATGAGGATGTGGCGTTTTTTCTCCTGGTAGTGGGGGTACTCCTCCTCTTCCTCCTCCAAGTTTCCGATCTCCCTCTTCTTGCCGAGGGGGATGGTGTTCGGGTTCACCCAGGCGTTTACCTTCGTGTGGTGCCCTCGGGGAGGTCCCTGATGAGAAGGCCCCTCCTGCCGAGGGCTCTGAACAAATTGGGACAGGTGCCCTGCTTGTATTAACCTCTCGATGGCCGTCTTTAGCTGATGGCAGTCATCGGTCCTGTGCCCCTGGTGCCGATGGAAGCGACAGTACGGGAACTGAGGGTTGATAGCATGTACCTCCGGGGGTGCGCGAGAGTCGCGCTCAACGAGGCCCCTCTCCTCGGCAAAATCAAGGATGATGCTGACCGGGTGCGTCAATGGTGTCCGAGGGCGGTCCAGGAGAATGGACTGTGCCCAAGTCCCCGGGCTTGGCTTGGCCTTGCCGAGGGCAGTCATCAGAGGGTCCTGAGGCCTTGGGGTGATTTGGAGGAGCCCCCGCCCCCCGGTTGTTTTTGTTGTCAGCCCTCGGGGGCTGCTGATCCGGATGCTGGTGATATTTCTCCACCTCCTCGGCCTCAGCATATCGGTCCCCCCACTGCAAAGCCCTTATGTAGTCGCGGGGGGGTTCAATGATGAGGCTCCTTGAAAAGTTGCCGGTGCGGAGGACGGTTTGTAGGAGGGCCAGGAGGGTCCCGTCATCAGCACCGTCGACCTTGTCGGCCTCCGTCCTCCAGCGCTCCAGGAAGTCCCGAAGGGTCTCATCCCTCTTCTGGCATATGGTTAGGAGGTGGGAGAAGTGCTTCCTCGTGCGACGCCTCCCGGCAAATTGTGTCAAGAATCGCTGGGCGAGTTCTTGCCACGAATCAATGCAGCCCTCGGGCAACCGGTTGAACCATTCGTATGCCGGCCCCTCTAAGGTGGAGAGGAACCAACGACACAAATATTCGTCCGACGCCCCTACCATCATCACGCTGTTCTGATATTTGCTGTAGTGTTCCTGGGGGTCCGTCTTCCCGTTGTAGGGCTGTATGTGTTGCCCTCGGTATTTTTCCGGGATCGGGGCCGCCAATACCCTTGGGGTAAATGGAGTCCGGGTCCGTAGTTGGATGACAGGTTCCCCGGAGCCCTCGGCCACCTTCTTCTGTAATTCCTCCATTTTGGCCATCATGGCCTCGTATTTGAGATCTGCATGAGGGGTGGAGGTGGTGGCGTGAGCTTTGTTGACCTCCATCTCATCAAGCCGGCGTTGGAGGGCCGCAATAATTTCGTCCCGGGGATCCTTCGGGAGGGTCTCCGCCCCCTGCGAACGAACCCGGGCCGAGTGGGCCTGGTTGATCTGGTGGCGAGCATCATTGGCATGAAGGGGTGCCTTGCCTTTGTCCCGGGGGGACGCTCCTCGTCTGCCCTCGAGACAGACCCTCCACTTTCCTGGGGCCTTTGGAGTGCCTTTCCTCCGAGGCAGTCTTGGACCCCTCGGCGGTCTGGCCCTCCTCCGAGCCGGTTGAGGGCGGAGGTGCGGGGCCTCTCTCTGTCGTTATTGTGGCGGTCCCGGGACTGTACTTCCTAGGAGGACGTATCCTGGGCCACTACCCCCCCCCCCCCCGTCGTTCCCCACCCGAGGGGTGGGATTCCCGAAGGGGTGTGGCAGAGGGGGAAGTATGATGTTCTCCCCAACCTGGGGTTGAGCCGAAGCCAGGGTGTCGAAGGCACCCGGGTTCTGAGTGAGCGTCTGGATGAAGGCGGAGAGCGCCGATTGCACGTCGATGGTAAGAACCGGAGGGCTGACTCGGTCATCGCTCCGGTTTTTCTTCTTGGCCTCGATGCCGAGGCGGGCATCGGGGGCATTCTGTTGGATCTGAAGGCGTAGGTCGACAGCCGCCTGTTCCAGCCCAGCGATGACACCGCCCTCGAGAGCCCTGTGAGAGGCTTCGGGGGCGTTGACGTCGCCGAGGGCCAGGTTCTTGTCTTCTACGTTTTTGGAGTTGGCACGTGTTGTTCTCACCATTTTTGTTAGAGGGCTAGTGTTTGGCGAAGGGGGAGGGTTTCTTACTTGATTGTTCGAGCTCTCAACGAGAGCACCAAATGATGGATAGTCTACCCGGGGGTATATATCCGAAGGGTTATTGCTGGGAATAACTTAGAGAGAAGTCAGAGCAAGTAAATGTAGAGAGAGAGAGAGAGTGTATTATAAATGTGGAGCGTTTTCAGCGTGGTTACAAATGGGGAAATGGGGTGCTATTTATAGTAGCAATAAATGCCGGACAGGGACACGTGTCAGGCGCCTATTGGCCGAGGGGTCACCTCAACTGGTTGGTGTTGGCAGCCGCATGTGGCCGCATTTAATGCGGCTGTTGGATGGGACGTCTGTACAAGGTACGGTGATCTGTACGCATGTGAGGCGGATATCATGTCGGAAGAGGTGCCCTCGGCTACAGAGGACTAGCCGAGGGCTCTTAGTGCTGAGGACCCCTGAGTGCCGAGGGCTCCAGGTGCCGAGGGCTACTGTTTTCGCCGTTTTCTCCCAGTTCCTTCGTTTGTTCGAAATATCCATGCTGTGATAGTTTGGAGCCTTCGGCCAGGGGGCCGAAGGCACCCCTGGTGCGTGTTGCGGGCTGCTTGGTACTATGGGCGCCGTGATTTGGGCCTGTTGGGCCTTCTGGGCCTGTTGGGCTTCTAAAGGAGTAGTAGGAGTCTGTGGGCCGGGCGTTCCCGGGCCATATACTCCATCACCAACCTTTGCACACCATCTTCGTTTGTTGGTCCCTGACCGGTTGATGACCTGCTATTCCCGATTTTTTCATTTTCTTTACAACTCATTCAACCATAAATCCGACCTTTCACAAATCTTCTCCAAACGGTCACACATATCATTTTTCTTTTTTTCCTAAAACTTTTCCCTTTTTATTTTTATCGTCTTGACTCTTTTATTCTCCTTTTTTGTCTTCTTCTTATTATTTTTACTACTTTTCAAATTATTTTATATTTTTCAATATTTATGTATTCCATTTTTCCTTTTTCTTCTTCTTCCCATTTGGTAAAATATGATTATCCTATTAAGTTATGGTAAGGGTAGAAATTTAGAATAAGAAGATAGACAGTACTTTAGTAAAGATAAATAACATAGTCCTATTTGTGCATTTGGGATTAATTTAATCCTATTTTGGGGCTATGTTCTCAAATATATACTAGTGGTAGAATAAAGGTAAGAAAAGGAAAAAGGAAATAAATAAGTGTAAGTAAAAAGAAAATAAAGTACTCCCTCCGTATCTATTTACTTGGCACACTTTCCTTTTTTGGTGTATCAAACTAATTGTTTCCTTTCCTTTGTTGGAAAGAATCCCCCACGGGTGAGCGTAGCTCAACTGTTAGCAAGAGAGTGCCACAAGGGTTAGGTCCCGGATTCGAATCTCGGCAACTGCGATGAGAGGTTATTATGTTAAAAAAGCATAGGACCCCTGCAAGTACATATGCTTAAAAAAGCATAGGGCATTTGCAAGTACGTATGCTAAAAAGCATAAACGGGAAGAAGAAAAAGAAGGAAAAATGAAATACATAAACATTGAAAAAAAATAAAAAGTAATAAAAATAAAAATAACAAGACAAAAAGGAAGAATAAAAGAGTCGATAAAAATAAAAAAGGAAAAGTTTAGGAAGAAAAAAGAAAAATGACATGTGGACCGTTTGGTGAAGATTTATGAAAGGTAGAATTTATGGTTGAATGATTTGCAAAAAAAATGAAAAAACCTGGAATAGCAGGTCATCAACCGGTCAGAGACCAACGAATGAAGATGAGGTGCAAATGTTACATTATTCATGAATAACGATAAAGTGGGACCAACGAATGAAGACCGCTAAAAGGTTGGACTATTGATTTCCATTTTTCCTTGATTATATATCAATAATTATTTCTTGGGAGACCTCCTCAAATAGGACCACAACATAACATTTTCTAAAATAAAACCTACAAATTTAAAATGTCATAAATAAGACTTTCTATTTGTGATCGAACAAAAATACTCTTATAGTGTTAGAGTTGTTGCCTCTAAGTGGCCAGACTGCCACTAGCCGCCAGCGAAGTTTATTGCCGCCACCGCGGAACAATGGCCGCCGCCAGATTGTCTAGCTACCAATGCATCGCTCTTGCTTATTTAAGAGAACTAGAGCAATTAATTAATTAAATAATTAATTAATTGAATTAAAAATTATAGAAATGGAAAGACATATATCATCATATTTTTCTAGGCAACAATCTTCTCTAATTTCTTTTATGAATCTTCGACCGGTGAGCCAAGTAACAAGGAAGTGTCACAAGGGTTAGGTCCCGGGTTCGAATCCCGGCAATTACGATGAGGGGTTACTATGCTATCTGTCACATTGTGATTATAGTCAAATTTACATCCTTCCAACGTACCATGAATCTTCATCGTCGTCAAGCCTCATTAATTGGAGGTTGGAATATAAACTACCGGTGGCGACTGATGACGAAGGAGTATATTTATGAATTCACTCCACTCAGCGATTCAGAAATAAGGATCACCAAAAATAAAATAAAAAATCAATGTTTGAAGCATTTCGACTTTTGTAGGTGAATATTCTTATTTTCGTGCTCTCCAATATAATTTCATGTTGAAACTATTCATAATAATTAATGCGTGAGAGCTCGACAATGTCAAAGGTCTGACAATTCAGCAATACCGATCAGCAAAGCTTCGTCGCCAAAGACCAATTCAATTCAATAAACAGTCAAACAGGAAACGCACCTTAGTTGAAAAACTTGACTGTACGGAAACCGGCGAATTCGTATCCAAATCGGGAAATTCATCAGATATCGATGAAAAGCTAGAAGCATTGGAAAAGGAATCCGTCAATATTTCGTTTTCCGGCACCTCAACCGTCTCCACATCCCACAAAATCCAGTTGTTCGTCGAAGTCGTATGAGGACTATCATGCGTTACAGAGTTCCTCCACGGCGGCGTCCCGCCGTTCGCCCGCAAAAACGTTCCGCCGTAACTCCTCAATTTTACCTAAATTTATTGTATGATTCAGTATTTGCGTACAATTTCAGAGAAGGTCAATCAATTCGGGGATGTAATACGATTAATTACCTGAAATCCATCCTTGACAGGCTGCCACTCAATACGCAGATCTTTCACGTTTTGCTGCTCTGTCAATAGCACCCTGTTTCCGGTCATGCCGAGGAGCAGCGCGACGTCGGAGGCCATCAGGTAGCGGCCGTGGCAGCTCTTGAGGCGAATCAGTTGGCTGCTTCCCTCCACAAACTCTACGCACCACCGGCCTTTCTTCGACGCGCCGCCTCTGCGGCTCTGCCGCGTGTGCTGCTGATCGTCGTCCGCTACTAAGTACTTGTTCAGGTGGCTCCTCAGCCGGACGGCCTTCGCTTTCTGAAAGATCTCCATAGCTATGGACGAGTTGGGGGAGTGGGAGATGATGATGGAATTGAATTTGTAGTTAAGTATAGGTTAGGGAATTGAACTAGTTTCTTTTTCTTTGCTTTTTTCTGTTTTTGGGTGTAACTGAAATTGCTTGAATTTGCTAGTTAAATACAGTATGAAAGATGGGGAATGAGTTTCATGGCTGCCCATAATCGGTCTTAACCAAATCTAGACGCTAGACAGCGTTTTTTAAGCACAATAAAATATAGTCCGAAGAATGTAGTCGTATCATTTATGATTAGATTTGTGTTTATCAATCCTACTTTTCGGTTTAACAATAATACATGTCAATTTTTTATTTAAACTAAATACAGAGTATGTGTTTCTGAAATTTTGGTTCTAGGGAGGACCAAGATGATTGATTTTTATAGTAATTTACATTAATTTCTTAGCTCTAGATTAGAGCAATTATACATATCGTGCACTGTTTTCGATATATATCTTCCTTTTTTACTATTTTAAGAGAGTACAATTTACTCCAAACATCACATGAATCGAAAAATAAAACAATATACTATCCGTATATTATTTAGACAACGAGTAATTGTTTGTTTTCGTGGCGAAACCAGAACAAAATTTGAGCGGGAGCTAAAAAAATTCAAATCGTCAAGTTGGAAAGACGTATAATCTCTACCGTAATCTTTTTATGTATTTACAGTAACTTTATCTCAAATTGAATGCAGAGAAATATTTTCGTTTTCATGAAGTGATTCTTTATTTTACTATTGTTGGGATATTGACCCGGAGGCCCAATACCCGGATTAAAAAGGCCCAGGATATCCGGCCCAAACAACGAGTCCATTACCCTATGATGAGTAGGCCCAGTGAAGAATCCATACCGAACGAGGTTTGGTCCAAGTAGAGGCCGGCCCAGAAAGCAGAAATACCGAACGGAGTTCGGATCATACATCATACTTGGGCCAATTTGACAGCATCTTTCGCATGGTCCAGCATCCCTTTCGAGCAACGGGCAACCAGCAAGTGGCCAGGTGCATTTAATGCCAGATTATGACATCAGCAAGTGGAAACATGGGTGATCAAGTCGGTGGAACAACAGCCAATCAGCATAGAACAGCCCATGCTCTCCATTAGTATAAATAGAAGGTTTAATATCATTGTAAGGGTTAGCATTTTGATACTCAAGCTCTAGAATAACATTATTACTCTCGTTTCTTGTAGTAGAAGCATAGTTCCGACGTACCGATCGGGAAGTTTCCTTGTAATCAAACAGATTAATTAATACAAGTGGGCTTTTGAGTATTCATTGATTCATCTTTTATATTTCGTTATACACTTTGATTCTGATCCATTCCTGATATATCCAAAGTTCGTGTTGGGCTTTCGGATCTGCGGGACTTACCTTCAACAACTATATATAAGTTACTAATTTCTCAAGAAAATAGTAATTTTGTTTTTCTCTTTTCAATTCAACGTTACTTTCTAGGTTATTTGTTTTTTAAAAGGATATTAATTGTTTTATTTATGCAAAGTATCGCATAACTTTAATTATACCCATATAATTAAAGTCACATATTTCAAAAATTAACGAGAATTTTTGACATATTTGTACTAACTCAAAGACTAAATAAATAGTTATGTTAAATAGTATGTCTGATAGAGTATACCTCTTAGATTCTAGAGAGAAGTGAGAGCTAGAGAGAGAAGTGCAATATATGCTTCAATAGAATGATTTTGTAACCCCTATAACTACTCCCAAGGGGAGTATTTATAGAGAAAATTAGGGTTGGGCTCCCAAGCCTTGGGCTTGGGAGGCCCATTTACAACTGGACCGCTACTGGGCCGAATACAAAGCCTCTAATGGGCTGTACAAATGAATAAGTATAGAATCCGTTTCTGGGAGGTCTTCGTGGCCGACGAGGGCGTGGCCGACGAGGGCACCCAGGTTCCTTGGGCTCAGGACCATGATCCGAGTTGGTTTCTTCTCGGCCGACGTGGGCGTCTTGGCCGAGGAGGGCGCCACTCGATTGTCTTGTGCTTTCTGTTCTTCCGAGTATGTGGGTCCTGGGGCTCAGGCCCATATACTCCATCAGGAGTCCCCCACTCTCTAAGCTGAGACGTAGACGAAGTGAAGGAGAGTAGATTTCTGCGCTTTGTTGCTTTTGGCCGACGCGGGCATTTCCAGGCCGTTAGCCGTTGCGGTATTGGCGCTGTTTCCATTTTGGTGATCCTGTTCTGTGCTTTGGCCGTTACCTGTTCCTCGTTGTGGGCGGGGAGGCCGTTGTTTCAATGGTGGCCGTTGAAGGCGCGCTTTCCCTTTCCTGGCCGTTGGTGGTTGAAGTTTATGTTTGGGCCGGTGAGGTCGTTCCTTGCTTTGAGGACGATGGCGTCCTTTCCTTTGGGTGGCCGATGAGGGTGCTCGCGCACTCCTTTTGGCCGTTGCTGGTTGGCCTTCGTGTTCTTGGCCGAAGGGCCCGTCAAGATTAGTTGTTTGGCGGAGGACGATGAGTGTCCTTGCCTCTAGTGGCTTGTTGGCCGTTGCTAATGACGTTTTGGGCCTTTGGCCGATGAGGTTCCGTTGTGTTGTGTGGATGATGTGGCCATGTTTTGTGGTTACCTTGTTTATACCTTTGTTTTGTTGAGGCCGGTGTAGTCCCCCAGTCCCCCACTGCTTCAGGCCGAAGAGTGTGAGGGGTGAAGGAGTTGCTTGAGTCCTTGGCCGAAGCGGTCTCGCCGTAGTCCCCCTGAATCCAACTCTCATGGCGATTTTCTGGCCAAGGTAACCCTGTGGGAGAACCCTTGTGCGCAGATCGCTTGTAGAGAGTTATCATCAAGGGTTATTACGAGGAGCCGAAGGCTGTGGGCTATTTGTCCCCTTTGTTCTGTGGCCGTTACGTTCCTGGCCGTTGCCGTCCACTTATTGTCTGGCATTTGTGATATTGGCAAGCAGATGGGACGTTGTGGGCGCTTGCTGGCCGTTGTAAAGCCGTTGAGCGTGTGTAGGCCGTAGAGTCTGATTTGCCAGTGGGCCGTTGATATGGGTTGGTCCTGGCCCGTTGGTGACGTGGTGGCCCCCCAGTGGTGGCCGTTGATGTGGCCATTGGGAGAGTGCCACGTGTAGTGACCGTTGGTGGGGGTGTCTATAAATACCCCTTCCCCTCCGACGAAAAATCACGTTTGCATTCTGAATTTGTCGAAGTGCTGGCCGATTTTCTAGAGAGATAAACTCCCAAGCCTGTTCTTCGTGTTCGTCATTGTTTGAGGTTAGTGTTCATCACGATCTTCCTCGCTTTTCATACTTTGCTCCGTAAGTAGTTGATCTAGTGTTAGGCATCTAAACACCTTTAGATCGTAAGTTGTTCTCCTTAAATCTGTAAAAGTAGTAATGAAGAGCTTGAACGAGGACTACTATCCCTACGACGACCAGCCCTCCACGAGGTCCCTTGACTACGAGGTGCTCGAGGAGTTTGAAGAGGAGATAGGGCGTTTGAGCCCCTACAAATCCGGAGAGCTGATGGACGAGGAGATCGAGGACGAGGAGTCCGCCTCTTCTTCAGAGGGTGAGGACGTAGGTGCGTCCCGAGCGGTGGACGGGGGCGTCCACTTCTGCTGTCGTTCCGTGCCCGAGGCCGGTATCTGCCGTGAAGGGCGACGCTAAGCCGAAGAGGGTGAGGAGGCCGAAGAATGGGCCGGGCCTCTCCTATTTGGACCTCACCAACATATTCCTGATTAAGCCGGAGAGTAGTGAGGCCGACTATCTTGTCGCCCAGATGTACGTGGGGCCGTTCGGGCGGGTTAGGGCACCCAGGCCGACGGACCATGTTCTACTTCCGCCACCGGGATACTTCGGAGTATACCCGATGAGTTTTGCTAAGGGGTTGAGGTTCCCCCTTTACCCTTTCGTCACCGAGTATCTGGACATGGTGGGGCTTCCTCCGGCCTTGCTGACGCCGAACAGTTATTCCTTGATAGTGGGCTTCTTGCTTCGGTGTGAGGAGTTGGGCTACAGGCCGACCACGGCCTTATTCATGAACTTGTACCAAATCGGCCGAGGAAGCCACAAGAACTGTGCGGCCTATGCTACTCTTCAAAAGCTGCCGAGGAAGAGGAGCTTCACGGATTTGCCTACGTCCATTCATGGGTGGAAGAGCAAGTTCGTGTTTGTGTCCATTGGTGAGAGTGGCACCGAGTTCCCCTCCCTCGGCCATACCGGGAGGTTCAATCTTCATGACCCGCCGAAGAGCTCTATTTTGGACGCTCAGGTGGAGGCTTTCCTGGAAGGGGGCCGAGGAGCGTGAAAGATTACGTCACTGAATACAAGATGACGACCCTCGGCTTCTTCAGATATCACTTGTATGGAGATAAGGAGGATGACCTCCAGCTCTGGCCGAGGATGACCACCACCTTTGAGGAGACGATGGCCCGGATTTGGGCATTCCTGCTGAGGCCGATGGTAATTTTTCTTCGGCTTTCTGTCTTTACGTTTTGTCCTTTGCCTTACTAATATGTTTGTGCTTTTCCCTTGTAGATTTTGTCATGGACCGCCGTTCCATGATGGCTCTTGCAAAGGCCAAAGCGGCCGAGGAGATTGCTGCTAAGGCGGCTGAAGCGGCCAGGCGTGCCGCGGCCGGTGTGAGCGGGGCTACTACAGATGCGGCTCCAAAGCCTGCCCCATCCAAGAAAAAGAGACCGGCCACTGATGGCCAGAAAAAGTTGACCGAGGCCGGCGTGAGCGTCTCTAAGAAGACGAAGAGGGCTCCTTCCCCTTCTCCGGCTAGTGAGGCCGGCACGCTTACTGTCCCCAGCGTGGGCGATGGTGGTCCCGTTGTGGACCTTACTGTTGCAGATGATGCCGCCCCAGCGCTTCCTCTCGTCCAGGAACCGCGGACGCAGAGGGCCGGCAAGGAGGTTGCTGGTGCCACCTATCAGAAAGTGATAGAGTACCCCGTCGGCGGGGGCGTGTTTAATGAGCTCGTCCCCGGCCACGTCGTCCTGGCCAAGGCCATGCCGGCCAAAGATCGGGCTCATCTGAAGAAGCTCGAGGACCTGAAGATTTATGAGGGCGGCATGGATCTCCTCGTCCAAGTAAGTGATTGTCTTTATATTCTTGTCTCTCTTCGTCTATGTAGAGTTTTTGCCTGACCTTTGTTTTTCTTATGCAGAGTGCCTTCATGCTTATGGAAAGCCATAAGAGGCAGTACTGGGAGATAGTCCGCCTGCAAGCACTGGAGCAGAAGGCTGCCTCGGCCGACGAGGCGGTAGCTTGCCTTGACCGGCTTCGGGAGGATGCCAAGGCGCT